AGTGTGTGAGATTTTTGCTGATCTCTGATGTTATGTGTACTAAAATGTCTTTCTCTGTTTTCAGGGTTGACTCTAGTAAAATTAATGCAGAAACTGGCATTTCAAATCAACATTTAAAACAAAAAAATCTAAACCTTTACAAAAAGTTGTCGTTGAGAATGTCTAAATATAAATCCAAATCCACAACTTAATAAAAATAAGTATTTATGTCTAAAAACAACGAGATTTATTTTTGATCTATATAGGAATCTAGTGGCTAAACAATGGAATTGCAGATGTTTTTCTTTTTTATTTCCACTAACATGTAAACAGCTTCTGTCTGTACCGCCTTCATTTACGAGCTTGTTTTCATCTCTTTCGCTTTAATTCTCGGGCACTGACTCGTTCACTAAACTGAGCATCCAATCAGAGCTCTCACTCTCGCCGACGAGTGGAACACACCAAACAAACTAGTTTTCATGACAGATTTATTCAAACATGCATTAAATATTGATCCAAAAATATAAAGAATATTTAATATAGTGCATACATTTATCAAAATGCTGTTTTAAAAGTACTCTTACCTTGACGGGTGACACGTGCATCTGGGGTGTGTAACCGTGGATACCGTCGCTGAGCTGCATCTCTGCAGACTGTCCTGTGTTCAGGTGAGCTGGACTGTGCTGCAGCGGCGGCGTCTCCTCGTCATGGTAACGGTACTTCTGCACACATGCAGAACAGCTCACACACTCAACAACTACACACACACACACACACACACCTTCAACATATGTTTAATATGTGTATGTGTATATATATATATATATTAGAATAGAGTTTTGTAGACCCATGTCAATTTACATGTATACATCAGCAGACTGTTTGCTGGAGCAGTGCAGTAAAGCAGCATCAGCTCCTGCTCCATTCGTTTGAAAGCAGCACCTCGTGAAGCGGACGAATACAGACAAACATCCGTTTAACAGAATCCAGTTCAAAATTAAAATCATAGAGGTATCAGTTTAATGAGCTCAGCCCTTAAAACCTTCAAATAAATAATAATAATAATAACTCCTAAATATTAATAATTAAATAATAATTAAAAAACCCTAAATAATACTAATAAACCCTTGAAATACACAGACTGAAGTGTGCGTGTTGAGAGGTTCAGCTGAAGGTTAATGACAAATAAAGAGGCATAAAATCTAATGTTTAATATTCAGTCTAATAGTAGTGTTATATTTGTATATTAAATGCATGGTTATTTAAAATAATTTTTCAAAAAAAGAATAATAATAATGTATGCACATATGCATGAACCGCACACTCAGACACAAGGAGAGGACATGAGTATAAGTTTGACCACAATAAACTATAATTATTGCTGTTATTAGTGTTCACCGTTTGTTTGAATGCATCATTAACTGCGTGATTTTTACTCTACATTTCATATGGACATCACCTTGAGATCACCACTGATAATCTATTACTAAATATAATGTAGAAACTTTCATTTTCTGTGAAGCTGCTTTGCAAGGATTTGAATGGAGAAAAGCTCTGTAGAAATAAACGCGAGGGATTGTGGGATTGGCCAGACGGGGGCGACACAGAGCTGCTCAGTATTCCACTCAGAGCTCACTGCGGAGCGGAGGAGTGATGATGTCATCAGAGAGGGACGACACGCCATTCAGACCCTCAGCAGAAGAAGAGTGCAGCACCAGCATACATGAGTGTACACACACACACACTCTCTCACTCACACAGATATGTGCGCACACTCTCACTCACCCACTCACAGATACGTGCACACACACACAGACACTCTCTCACTCTCACACACACAGATACTCTCTCACTCACTCACTCACACACACACACTCTCTCTCTCTCTCTCTCTCTCTCTCTCTCTCTCTCTCTCTCTCTCTCTCTCTCTCTCTCTCTCTCTCTCTCTCTCTCTCTCTCTCTCTCTCTCTCTCTCTCTCTCTCTCTCTCTCTCTCTCTCTCTCTCTCTCTCTCTCTCTCTCTCTCTCTCTCTCTCTCTCTCTCTCTCTCTCTCTCTCTCTCTCTCTCTCTCTCTCTCTCTCTCTCTCTCTCTCTCTCTCTCTCTCTCTCTCTCTCTCTCTCTCTCTCTCTCTCTCTCTCTCTCTCTCTCTCTCTCTCTCTCTCTCTCTCTCTCTCTCTCTCTCTCTCTCTCTCTCTCTCTCTCTCTCTCTCTCTCTCTCTCTCTCTCTCTCTCTCTCTCTCTCTCTCTCTCTCTCTCTCTCTCTCTCTCTCTCTCTCTCTCTCTCTCTCTCTCTCTCTCTCTCTCTCTCTCTCTCTCTCTCTCTCTCACACACACACACTCTCACTCACCCACTCACAGATACGTGCACACACACACAGACACTCTCACTCACCCACCCACTCTCACACAGATACGTGCACACACACTCACACAGACACACTCTCACTCACCCACTCTCACACAGATACGTGCACACACACACTCACACAGACACACTCTCACACAGACACGTGCACACACACACACACTCACCCACTCTCACAGATACGTGCACACACACACAGACACTCTCTCACTCACACACTCTCACTCACCCACTCTCACACACACACACACTCACCCACTCTCACACACAAGTGAAGAGTTTGAAGTGCAGGTGTGTGTATAACCCTTCTCTTTTTTTATGTCACAGTTGCATGTTGGTCAGAACACCTTGTACTCACCTTTTCAGGATAATGGTCTTGTTTTCTCCAGTTCTGGCTTTGTAAATAGGGATTTTGGAAGGGGTTTATGACATCTGGCCTATGAAAGGGAGAACTATGTTCACACTTTAGCATTAGTGCTTAGTGCTGTCTATGTATGTGTGTGTATGTCTGTGTGTGTGTGTGAGTGAGAGAGTGTCTGTGTGTGTGAGTGAGTGAGAGAATGTCTGCGTGTGTGAGTGAGAGAGTGTTTGTGTGTGTGTGTGTGAGAGAGTGTGTGTGAGTGAGAGAGTGTCTGTGTGTGTGAGTGAGTGAGTGAGAGTCTGTGTGTCTGTGTGTGTGTGTGTGTGTGGACAGTGTTTCCCACGCTCTCTCTCTCTTTCTCATTCAGTGCACGATGCTGGTCTGGTCGTCATGGAAACTGGCTCTGATAGCACGGTTGCATAGTAACTGACATCACCAGCAACATAAAAATGAAGATGAAAGAGAAACAAATGACGGTCTTCAGATTTATGAATGTGTGTGTGTGTGTGTGTGTGTGTGTCTGTGTGAGAGTGTGTGTGTGTGTGTGCGTGTTCAGCGTTCAGAGTCGCTGCTAGTCTGATTCCTGAAGAGTGAAACACTGTGACGCTCTCACTGCATTGATCTGATTGATTGATTGGTTCTGACTCAGCCAATCACGCGAGTCTGGGGCGGGACTATCTGTTCTGACGCCCATGCATACTACACACATTCATACTATATAAAACATACTCTTTTGTGAAGAAATGACTTCTTGAAGACAAGGGCCTAATCAGAGAGAGTGTGATTTCAGACGCAGCCGAAGTCTTTGCTTCATTGCCGCTCATATCACGTGTTTTTGAACAAATCACCTGAGCTTTTGCAGATATTATCAAATGTTTGGTTCCCAGAATGTTATCCAGCACTGCCGCGATAAATGACTTTGGATGAATGAGCATCAATAATCAGACCTACACAAACAATGTCTTGTTTTGGTCTGTTTAACTAATAAAATAATAGGTTTAGCTATAAAGTTGGATTTATCTGATCATTCGTCGTGGAATTCTGCTGAACGTAGACAAAAGACATGGACAAACGTGAAGACATCATCAGTCACGACGGACTGTGTATAATAATAATGATCTAGACTCACTGTAATTTATAATGAGGGGTGGGGCTTGCATTATATCTGGGAAACGCCCATTTTTAGAAATGCATGTTCGCTGAGAGCGTTCTGTATATATAACATGTGGATGGAAGCATAGCTAATGACATTAGTGTAAAAACATACAAAAATTGTCACAGATTCTTCTGAATGTCTGTCAGTGCAGTTGTTCAGACCGGAGCTAACCAACCCACACAAGTCTCAACAAGTGAATCCCCAGAGAGCACAGGTACGTCTGCGAGAGGTCTGTTAAACATCGCTTCATCTGCTGTGTACACACTTCTGATAGACGACTGTAAGATGTCAGTTTTACATTCATTCCAAATCATAGACATCTTAGGCTAAGTTCACACTACACGACTTTAAACGTTCTACATGACTTGATTGTCTGTCTTTAAGTCGTTGCGTGACTCTGTAAATGATCCACAACCGGGGGTTACACACTACACGAGCAACAACTCTGTGACCCAGCGACTCTACAAACCACGCTTTGTCACGAAAACACACGCGAGAGTTGGAACGGGAAACAACACGTGAAACAGGAGTTGGATGTCGGGAAGAAATTAGCGCTGCAAGGTGTTTGCTCGATGAAAAATTTTGCTCCATTTCTTGTGTCCAGACTTTCCTTTAAGCCGTGTTGCTGCTGTTGTTTTTCTTCCGCTGTCCTGAACCCATGCCTTGCTCTCTCATTGGCTGTAGCTCGTCACCACACCTGACACCACGTGATGTCGAGTCGGCCTGATATGTAGCATGCTAGGTATATGTTTGCCGTCGCGAGCCTCTTTGATGCGTCGTTGTGTAGTTCACACATAAAGACTGCCGAGCGCCGATCACCCGCTGATCTTCCCCCGATCACAGACCGACCTGTCGGCGAGCTCGTTAACTTACAAATCGGGCTTAAAATCCTGTAGTGTGAACTAGGCATTAAAGACATCTTCTAAACGTCTATTTGACATCTGACAGGAAACATCCTATAGATGTATACCAGATGAGCAAACACTCTAAGAAATACGTCTCTGTGATGTACGTGTGCTGTCAGGGTCATTAGATCACTACAACATCAAGACAAGTCAATTAACAACTCTACAACAACATGCACACACACACACACACACACACTCTCACACACACTTTTCTGTGGCATAATGACACAGAGCACACATTCATTATTGACGGAGGGCGTTTCTGAAGCGTGGCGCTGACGACCGTCATAGTGACAACAGCCAATCACATTAGTCTTTTGGTGTTGCATGAACGCGATTGGCTAGCGTCTGCGCTAGGGTATTTGCATGAGGCGATCTGATTGGCTGACGCCTGCGTTGGCGCTTGAAAAGTTTTCAACTTCTGCCGCAAGCAACGGACCCACAATTCATTTCGCCAACGCTTGCGTCACACCATTCAAAGTAAAGAGAGGCGTGACGCTGAGGGGCGTGTGGAGCGGCAGCGGACTGACCGCGGGGTCAAAGTTGAAAGCCTAGAAGAACAGAAGGATCTTTCATCTGCGCAGCCCTTAAGTTCTTAATTAAATTGGAAAGTAAAGTGAACTTTTTCTCGGCCTCTATTTGACGCTGCATTACGTCTGCAAGACGTATTTTTAGAGTGTTTGCTCATCTGCTAGACGTCTATAGGACGTTTCCTATCAGATGTCGAACAGACGTTTAGCAGATGTTTATGATTTAGAATGCATGTAAATGAAAACTGACATAGAACACTGTGCGCGCACACATAGAGCTAGTTTAGAGTTCAGAAAGTTTTCTTAATCGCGCTCCCGCTGGATTTCTGACCACCGCGCGCTCCCGCGAACATTCTAATATTGTATATAGTTTTTGCGTTATCAATATATGCGGGGTATTTGAATGCGCGCTCGCGGTTCACTTTGGTTTCGCGTCACGCGCACTCTGTGTGGAGCACATTTGAAAGATCTGATGTTTGTCATTGAGCTCAGGATCTGTTGAGCAGCAAATCCTCCAGCATCTCTCCTGACTCCTCCCCCGCGATCAGTCCAGTCTGACTGCTGCAGCTCCTGTTGGATGCAGGGTTGCCAAGTCTGCGTTTGTTCCACGAAATTGGGCTGCTTTTAAACTGTTGCTGTGGGTTGATTTTCCCCAGTGGGTTAAAGGTTTGAAATATTGCATAAATTACATATGACTGAAATGCTTGTATTGAAATATTTTGCATTTTACATATGATAAAACTGCGCTTGCTGTTAAGTTTTGTGTAGGAAGCTGTGTTTATGATCAATATGCATAACAGTGACTGTAAAATATGTATTTTAGGTATGGAAATTACATTTTGAGTTTTGATATTTGGGATATGGTCATTGTGCTACTTAGGTGGGTACCGAATTCGGTACTTTTAAGGGTGCCGACCGAATTGCGTCGATACTACCGAGTACCGATTCACGTTAAATTAATCGGTGCCAAATTTCGATACCCGAGAACGCATCTGGGCGCATACGCTAGAGAGAGAGAAAGAGAGACCCTGTGACGTGAGGTCACCCCTGCAACTCCTTCAGACAACACACAGGGCGAGCCGAAATGTTCTGAAGTGTGCTTACATTTCTAGGGCCATATGGTTTCTGCGAAAACGCGGACGGGATCGCGGAGTCCATTCATAAAAACATAATTTACTCTATAGCGCGGAATGCCAC